GCGCGGCTCTGGCAGCCCGTCCCTGGGCGCCGCGGAGCCCCGGCCCAGGGCGTCCCCGCGGGCTGGGGCCAGCTCCTAGGGCACAGCGCTCCCGCCCCCGTTTCGTGCGGACGGGTTCAACGTTTAGCAGAAGCGGGGAGTAGGGCTGAAGGTGAACCGCTATCGTTTGGGGTGGGAGGAGTCGGAAGAAGGGGAGGCAATCGGTGGGGCCGAGTACAGCTGCTTGCAACCTCGCTGCTGCCTGCCACAAGCAGTCTGGGCGCTGGATGTGGCGTGGTCCATTGTTTCTGTAGGGTTGCAGGCCCTGGCGGGAGCAAGATGGAGGTAAGGGGGCCACGCTGCTGGCTCAGCCCCACCTGGGCCAGGTCTGGAGAGGCCCTCCTCCCCCCTGCCCATGTGGTGAGGCGTGGCCCTGGGGAGCTGCTGAGTCCCCACCGCACCTCAGGGGCCTGAAAGTGCCCTGCTGGTGTCTGGGGGCTGCCATACCAATTAATTACTTAACCGCTGTAATTACAACAGGTTAAACAGGTATTTTTAGTCTGTATTTACTTCCCTATCTCACAGTCAGAAAGTTCCTCCTAATCTCTAGCCCAGGGGTTGGCAGTGCTTTTGGACAGTGCCAAAAACGCCTGCAAGCTTGGCTTGCAAGATGTCGGTGTACCGGGGCAGAAGGTGGGGGAGCCACGAGGGACCCGATCTGTATTGTGGCAGTGGAGCCCTGGCCCCTTCCCTGCCACCTGCCCCTAGATGTGCGCGCCAGCAAAATGCCTTCGTCTGCCACAACCTGGCACGTGCAGCTCTGTTTGCCAGCCAGGTTTTTAACCTTGTGCTGAGATCTCTTACCAGTGTATCGGTTATTTTAAAATAAGATTTTTTGGTTCAACCCATGCTAGGTTGTTTTTGGATGGGTGTGGGCAAGGTGGATCACTATTCTATGCTTTGGCAGGTAACAGGAGTGCAAATTGCAATGAAATAGGTAGGTGTTTGTACTAGAAAAGACAGAGGAACCGGAGGAAGTTGGACTGCAGTTGCAGGGTTCTGATGTCTTAGATGTCCCAGGGTTTAAAGTCATTATTTCATACTTGTTAGATTCTTTACTTTTACATGGTGTACACTGCCAGCCCATGACTGCAAGAAAACAAGCAGCAAAAGTATGACTTAGAGTCATGCCATTCTTTTGAGCACCTGATTGTTATTTTTCTTCTTTTTTGTACAAAATCTTACTCTGAGGCTAGAAAAAGACATGTCAAAGGAAGTGGCTCAGCTGTGCCAGGATGCATCTTGGGACAGGTATTTCACTTTGTGAGGAGAAACATGTCCCACAAGATCACCAGGAAGGACAAAGTGACAACAGGCGGCTTGTTCTTTGCTTCCAGAGATTCACCCTTGGCAATCTCTGGGGTTCTTGGAGATTGCTGGGGCACATCTCTGCAAATGGGGAAAGGCAGGACACTCCCATGCAGTTCTCACAGCTCCTGGACCACACCAGAGCATATTAGATACTCCAGTGCAGTCCTGGGGTTGAGACTGCCAATCAGCTGATTGGCAGTCCAAGTCCCAGGATTGTCCTGCCTTTCTCCAGTTGCAGAGATGTGCCCTCAGCAGTCTCTGGGCCGAGTCTCTAGAAGCATGGGGCCTTGACTTTCCCTGATTTCAGAGACTTGCCCCAGCAATTGCCAGGGGCACATCTCTGCAAGTGGAGAAATGTGCGCAGGCACTCTTATGGCCTGAGGGGCCCAATCTTGAGAAGTAATTCCCAGGGCACACAGGACTGGACCCCTAAAGCCCCACAAGCACCTGCCTGGAGCAGCTGGAGAATGTGGGTAGCTCTGACTACCTGTGCTCTCTCACCATAAAGCAAATAGATGTCTGCTGCAATAAACTGGCGCAGTTTTACTACCTTTTTCATGGCCACGTTTTGGCATAAGAAAACTTAGGGACATATATTTGCTGTCACCTTGTGCCTCAATAAAAAAAAATGTATGGCAGCACAAAGGTGATGAAAGGCAATGTCTGTTTTCACTCATTTGATCCCAATTCTGCTGTGAGTCATTAGGACAAGGGAGGCAGCCCATCTGTCATGAAAGTGTAGTTGATGTAACTGTGATCTACTCAAATAGAATATAGGAGTAAACTCAGATGGAATGAATAAACAGTCCACAGTTATCATGGAGGGTTAATGATGTGACATCCTGCCTCCTGATATCCTGTAAAATATAAACTGTCAATAATTGCCTTTTCATAATACTAAAATCTATTTTTGCATTTTTATTTTTACTGTTATCTATCATCAATAATTAATCTATAATACAATTTAATAGGTATGTGTCTAATTGGCAAATATGCTAGGTCCTATAAATATTTAGCACATCAGAGCTGTGTCCTGAAAAGGTGATGTGGAATGCTTTCAGTTGGCACTCTATGAGATGTAATCTTTTAAAGTCAGTCTCGGATAACTATTAATGTAGACACAACACATATTTGCACATACCTTGGAGTGTAGCAAAAGTGGATGTTTTACTTGCCCTCTCAAAACAAATAACTTTTGCATAGTTGATTTAAATGGACAGCATACATCCCAGGAATTTGGGCAAGGAGATGATGAAAATGTGTTTAAACCCATGCCACTGTAATGTAGTTTCTTAAACCTGGTATTTTGCTTTTATAATTCTATCTCTGTTTTTATGTAGTCTGTGGTAAGCTGAGGGAACCAAAAAAAAAAAAGCATTTTCATGTAACCTGGTTGGTAAACTCTGCTTTAAGTACTCTTATCTAAAGCCAGTCTCTAATCCAAGGATATCTCTATTTGCATATTCCCCCAACCTCAGGAATATTCTACACTGTAGTTTCTAGCTTCATTTTCTTTAGTTGGTCAGCATTTCCTTTTCTACAGTGATTCTCTTTCATACCCCGTACAGATGAGCTATATTGCATGTTGGTCCCCTCCAGTTTCCAGAGCAATGTAGGTATGCCAATAGCCTGCTTCTGGTGGGCCAGTCTGAATTCAGATTCTAATTTGGAATATATTATCAAGGTGTGCTCTAGATCAGTATCTTGACAGGTGGGAACACTTTTATAGTCTCTGCTGTCTCCTCCCACCCTCGCTTCTACTGGACTGGTTACTCTCCTCTGATATACTGCACTTAATATTTATCCCAAGGTGCATTCCAGTTCCTTAACCAGAAGACCCTCTTTTCTCTTCCTATGTATCCCTCTATCATTCAGTACACCTCTTCCAGTTTCTAAATTAAATGAGGGATGAAGCCTACAGATTGTAGTCTTAATATGTTATCCCATGCTGACTTGTTCCCAGCCTGTGCTCTAGGGAAGGGTGGGGAAATACGTGATAGTAATCATCAGATTAACTTGAGGTTTCAGATCTTTACAGTCTCAATATAAAGTGTAACTCATGCCTCTTAGAGGGTTGTTAGAGTCTGTATCGATGTGAGCAAAATCTAGTCTGCAGGCCAGATCTGGTCTGCCAAGGGAGTCCATCTAGCCCATGGCAGATACCTCAGCCTGGCTCAGCCCAGTGTCACCACTACCAGACCTAGCCCTAGCCGTGTTGCCTGGGCACCCTGGCCTGTCTGCCCTGCACCCACTGCTGAGGCACTTGACGGAGTGGGTGGGTAGGCGAAGTCTCCATGGAGACCAGCTCAGGACCCATGTGGTCAGGGCATGCTCAGTCAGGAGGATGGAATGGGACTGTGGGTGGGTGGGGAGTGGTGTCTGGGAGCAGGATGGGCAGGGCCATGGCTGGGGACAAGATTGTGGGGTGGTGACAGCACAGGGCAGGGTCTGGGGCAGAGCCACAATCTGCTGCCCGTGTGTCCCTGTAATGGGCACTGGTTCTGCAGGCAGGGGTATGCTGGGAACAGATTGTGGCTTAGCCCCAGGCCCTGGCCTCACAATTTCACCACCCTGAGATCTCGCCCCAGCTCTGCCGGCCCATTCCACTCCCAGACACCACTCCCTGCCTGCCCGCAGCCCCGTCCATCTGCCTGGCCAAGTGGGCCCTGCCTGTACAGGTCCTGGACCAGTCTTCATGGAGACCCTGGGATTGTTAAGTGGGGACAGCATGGGATTAGGCCCCAGGGCAGAACCACTTACGGAGTTTTGGTGAGCTGTTATTGGAGGAGTGGGGAGTGCTGATCCAGTCTGTGACAGCTCACTAAAACTTCCTAGGTGACCCTCAGGCCAAAATTATTGTGGCCGCCTCCTCCAGTCGATGTGGACTGCCTGTTCTTTTATTCATGACACCCTCGGGTTCTGTGAGATCCTTTAAAAAGTGCTGCAGACTGCCATGCAATGTTAGGTGGGCAAACACCCCCACGTGGTTCGCAAGATAAACCCAGAGGTTTCAAATCGGAATCCATCTTTTCAAAACATATTGACCTATTGTGGTCTTTCTGAGTTATATGCAACAGAAGAATTTCTCTCTCCTATTTCTGAAGTCAAGAAATGAATGAAAGCTAAAAGTTGGCATTTTCTGAGGGTGCCTTGTGTCTAAACAGGATGAGAACCATTTCACTGGAGGAAGGATGCGGCACATTTTGCCAGTAACTTTCATATCTATATGCTGACAGCAGAGGAATGTTGAAATTCAGGACTCTCGCATTCAATTCCAGGTTTTATAGCAGAGGTGGGCAAAATGCGGCCTGGGGGCTGGATACGGCCTGCTGGGCCATTCTATCCGGCCTGTGGGGCCCCTAAAAATTTAGAAAATTTAATATTTATCTGCCCCTGGCTGCCTGTCATGCAGCCCTCAATGGCTTGCCAAAACTCAGTAAGTAGCCCTCTGCCTGAAATAATTGCCCGCCCCTGTTTAAAGGGTTTTGTGAACTGGAGGTCAGAGAATGTTCTACTTGTCTTCTTTATGACTATATAGTCACTCAACTCTTCCTCACATCTTTCCCTGTCCCTCTATTTTACCATGGCTGTACACCCCTCATAGTTTGGGTGCCCTCTGGGACAGCCTTTAGAACACAGGAGAGGACAATCTACTGGAGCATTTGAAGTCTAATCAGTGTATAAGGGATGGAGTATGGTTAGGGCAGACAGAATCCTCAGAGAATTCAGTTGCCATATTTTAACTTGTATCATAAACCTGTATAAACAGTGGATTTTGTTTGTTTGTTTGTTTTCTTCTTTCTTTTCCCCTTTCCATTCCCCTGAGGCTTCTAGTCTGGCTAAGCACAGGTGACTTTTCGTTGGGATGAAAAATAACAACTTCGTTATCAATTCCAAGTCCCTTTGCTGAAGTGTTGAAGTGCTAGAGCATTTCAGTGCAACTTTAGTAAGAATTCCTGTAACATGGGCAGTTCAATTTAAGTTTAAACTGCAAATGCTCCACTTAAAATAAACTCTGGTTTTGGAAAACAAAAGTCCAAATGATTAGGCCTTTTCTACATTACAAACCTCTGGTGGAAGAGCTATGTTGGCTACAGAGTATGAAAAAGACACCTTTTGATAATTGCAAAATATTCCACGTGTGGACAATTTTGTCAGAAGAAAGCAGTTTTGGTCAGCAGAGCTTCTGCTGTTGGGGGAGCTGGTAGAGCTTTGAGGGTGGAAAAACTGCTGGTAGAATTGTATTTACATCTACTGTAATGTACTGCTACACCTTAAACAGTAGCAGCCCTGGTAGTGTATATTAAGGCTTATATTGGCAAAAGCCATGGTTTCACTATAAACAACTGAAAATTGTTGGGCAGTCTTGACTGCAGGCAGCAGTGTCAATCTCCAGCTGTAATCATGCATGTTACTTTGAAAACTTTAGTCAGTGCAAGTTGTGATGCAATCAAAATTTGCTTCCTCTGTATGAAAAATGTGACCTGTGCTAGTGATCTACCAATGACTAAAATAGTGTACATGTTTCAGAGTTTTAGGTTAGAGATACTATTCCTGAGCATGGTTCTCTGCTGCTTTGCACTTTATGTAGTTGTACTGGTCCAGAGTAGATACAAAATGCTGTCTGCCTGATATTGTAGTATTCGCATCAATTTTGATCAGGTGCAAACTAACCATACGATGTCCAAGGCAGGGTTTTGTTTTTTGACATTCTGTTTGTATCCAAATTCATGCCTAATGTTATAAACATAATTAGTTACACTAAATTGTCTCTCTCTTTCAGGCTGAGATAGAGCTGTTTGTCAACAGGCTTGACTCAGTGGAATCTGTTCTTCCCTATGAATATGCTGCGTAAGTATTTTAAATTTGGCTTTATGTGGAACTTCACCTTTTTTGCAGAAAAAGCTAATGAACTTTTATTTTGTTATAATACAATATATAGAAATAAAGTTTGGAAAGCTGCTAGAACTATAGGGTGACTAATTTTGTTCTGGTTTCCACTGTTGACTGTTTTGTAACCTACGTTTTCCGGTCTAAAATACCCTTATTCAGAAAAAAATTACTTCCTGGTGTTAATCATCATTTTATTGATCAGAGTACTGCTGCTGTGTGAATTGCCCTGTAGCCAGATGAGTGGAAATAGTTGCAATGAAGTGTGACCTTCACACCTATTATTTTAATGAACTATTAACTTGTCTGTCTTGTAACCAGCTAATACTTGATGGAAAATGCTCACAGTGTACTGTGGCAGTTAGTTTTGAAAGGGAGTGTTTTAGTTGTATCTGTGTTTTGATAGGGGACAAGTGAGGTATTGGGATTTAGCCTAGTAAATTTTAAAGGATTGTTCAAATCTAATGGTAAACAAAGGCATAATACAGTGGATTTTAGTTTGGTTCCCATGTTCTGAAACTTCATGCAGTATTTTCAAGAAGCAGCCAATATGTCTTCTTTTCAGAGCAGCAGCTGTACAACATATAATGATTGATTTAATCCCTGGCTAAAAAACCTCATGTGTATGCAAAATGGTAATATACTTAGTCAAATAATTTAAACGTGGAAATTTAAGTTTATTTGAGTTTAGAAATAATTGAAGAAAAGAGATATTTTTAAATCATCAGTTATGGACTTTACTTCTATATCTTTAGAGAGTTTGGGGGAGAAATTACTGAAGCTCTGAAAGAAATGCTACAACTTTTTAGTTTAGGTTTGAATGGCAGGGATTTGAAGGAGTGAGAAGAAAGTCCTACAGATTACATTTCAATCCTTGATAAAACGTGCTTATTCTCTAATTCAGGTTTGATTTTTGCCAAAATCCAGAAGAAAAACGTCCATCTGAAAACCTTGGTCAAGTATTGTTTGGAGAGAGGATAGAACCATCACCTTATAAGGTTGTGCTCTGCTCTGCTAAAGTGTTTTCTGTTAAATGGTTCTTTGCAATATAAAACTTTACACTAAAAATTACTACTATTCCTATTGTTAAAGATCTGTAATGGAAATCTGCCACTACTTTGTGTACTTTACAATTTTTAGCTGTTCTGCTTGTTCCTTATACTCCATAATCTATTTAAGAGCTAGAAGATTATGGTTACAAAGGGAATCGTGAGAACGTGAGCTAAGTGTAAACTGAAAGAAAATTGTCTTCCTCCATTTGTAGAGAGCTTGAAGCAACAGCTCTGAAAGCTGTAGGTAGTCCTGGCAATTTCCATCAGGCACTGGTGAGTGCCCTGCCCAACTTGGCATTTTCTGACACGCTGTGGAGTTCAGGCTTTATTTCCTCTGTAATTTGACATTTTTCTTTGTCTCCTTCTTTCTTGGACTTAACCAGCCCCTGATTCTTGCTTTCCGTATTAGGGAAGGTTGTTTAAATTACAGCAGGTATACTTTACATTTTTTTCATGATGCCAGAGCTGTAATCCTATTTGTAGCTCAGGAGTAGAGAAATGGGAAACATAAGCTAGGTGTCTGTCCAGAAGATGTGGAATAGCCCTGAAAATGGCTTAAGTGGGCTACAGGCACCGCCCTAGAGGCCAAGGAACCTTTGCACCAGGAAGTTCCAACCAACACTGATCAGGCAGCTGTTAGTAAGGTCCATGGAGCTGGTTCAAATGTACAATAAGTCTATTGTCATTGTTGAATGTAGGTTACAACTGAGGGTTCTTGACCTAGAATTAGTGGTGTCCTGATTTGATAGAAGCCCCATAGTACTAGAGTTAAAGTTGTTCCCTTCTGGAACTCTGAAACATCTAATCGTACAGTCTTGATGTTCTAATTACTATAGGATTTGTTTTCTTTAGTATAATCTAAAGAATTTTTCTAGCATGATTTTGATATTGAACAAACTGTTGACATTTTTTAAAACCGTTTTCTCTGAATTTGTGTTTAATTCTCTTAGTTCTTATTTAATAAAGAAGAGACCTGCAAGACAGTTTGTACAAGGACATATGACACACAAAAACCAGATCAAAAACAAAAATTAAACTTCTTGAAGAAAAGCATGCTACTGAATTACCAACATCATTGGTAAGTTGCACTAAATTGTTAAAAATATAATTATTTTATTTGTATTAATGGCTAATAGGGATGGTACAAATTTAACACTCTAAGGCCATGTCCATACGTGGTGTGGATATTTGGTTCCCTGGGGACAGCGAGCAGCAGTGTACCTTGTGCTGCTGCTGTTTGTCCCCAGGGAATGTCTGTGTCGCATGCTGTCTGGTCCGTGGCAAGTTACCCCGGGTGGGTTTGGGGAATCTGGGGCCAGCCCTGGGCTTGCCCCAGCAGCCTTACCTGGGGTCTTGAGGGGGCCCCTTGAGGCTGCTGCAGCACCAATCCTGCCACATGGAGCCTGGTTGGCAGCTGCAGCATGGCTCTGGCCAGGCCAGCTACACCTTGGAATGGCGCACGATGCTACTTCATACAGTACTCTGCTTTTTTTCTCCATGGGTTTTTTGACCCCTGGATATCCAAAAGGGTCCCAAAAAGCCCTGCTCCCCTGCAGCGTGGAGATCAACTAAATGTGCGGTATGTGGTGCTGCAGACAGGTCACATACCACACAGCTGCGCTTTTTTGGATCTAGCCTAAAAGTGAATACTTATACTGTTCTTGCAAAATATTCCATGTTGTGTTATTTTGTTCCTTAAAATTTTGATGCTGACATTCTAATATTATAAAAGCCTTTGTCTGTCTGTCTGTCTGTCTGTCTGTCTGTCACACTTTATTTGCACTCTGATTGGTTGTCTGAAACAGCCAATCAGTGCTCCAAGAATGTTCCAGACAGGGGGCATTGGAGGTGGCGGTGGCACGGGGTGCTGGCTGCGGGGGACAGCGGGGCAAGTGTCCCCTGCCCCCCAACCCCTCTGCTTCTGGGAGGTGACAGCGTGGTGTGTTAGTGGTGCAGTGCTGGCATTGCCCCCCACTGGGACCTTGCTGCCACTGCTGGGCCCTGACAAAACCGGCAGGGAGCGAGGGGAGTGGGGGGCACAGTGGCAGTGCCCTGCCATCAGGCCCTGAGACTGGGAGGGAGGGGAGCCAAGTGGGGAGGAGGTTGTGCCTGGCCAGATGCACAGTGCCCGCAGTGTGGGGTGCTGGGTGGCGCTCGCTTCCTCCCCGTCCCCCGCACCTGGGAGGTGGTGGCACCATGGTGTAGGAGGGGTGGACAGGGCTGGAGGCAGAGCAGTGGCAACGTGGATTGGTGGGTGGTGGTACTCTGCCCCTGCCCGCCTCCTCTCTCTCCCCCTGCCATTCTTGACAGGCAGTTGGCTAGTTTTTCAGTTAAAGCAATCATATACAGAACAGCTTTGGTAAACCTCATGGTTTTGGCTTTTTCTCTTATGCCTTTTTGCTAAGACAGCATTTTACACGTGGTCATTTCCTTGAATGTGTAACACTGCAGATGTCGCGTTCACTCTTGAAAAATCTACTTTCTGTTTTGTCTTCCTTCTCCTGATGGTGATTATATGGGCTGGAATTTGTCTGTTTTGGACAAATGGATTCTGGTCAGAGATTGGGAAAAGCATGCTGAAATGTAATGTGGAAACTTTAAGCTTAATAACAGGGAATAGTTGCAGCCAGTGAACAGTTCTTTTCACTGTCCAGCCATTGTGTAATCTTCATTTTGAGGGAAGGAGTGGCAAGTATTTGACTTGATCTTTTTAAGCACCCTGCTCCACTCCCCTATTCCTTACCCTTTATTACAGGTACTTTACTGTCTTGTACTAGTGGCAAGGTTCTGGCCCCATTCTAATGTAGTCTGTGTGTCTGGCTGTATGTCTTGTCTGTCCGTAAGTCTGTAACACTTTTGGCCAACTGCGCATGTGCCGCGGAGAGGGCAGGCAGCAATTGCCTGCTTAGGCTCCACCTCCTCAGGCAGGGAGAGAGCCGCTGCTGCCTCATTGTGGGCAAGAGGTAGGGGCGGGGGGGGAGGCAGGCAGGCAGGGTTGGTCTGATGTAAAGGTTCAGCCAAAAATATGTATGTGTATGTCCAGATGAAAGATTGTTTAATCATAAGTTTATTGTCTCTTTAAACATAAGTTAACAGGAACTCATTGGTCGTGGAAACTGGCATAATGTTGTTTAATAACTGTTTTCAAGTTTGAATATTATGGAGATTTATTTTTCTTAAATCAAATGTTTGTTTCACCAGTATATTAATATAGTATCATGTTAAATTAGTACACATGGCATGGTGGATTTTTTTCATTCATCCAGAAGAGAGATAGCTCCTCTGAGTTGTGGGTGTGGAAAAATATCCTTTTAGAATATTGTGTTCTACATTTGTCTTGTATTTAATTTAATCTGCAACTAGACTAGATTCAGCTTTCTGTCACTACATAATCCAGTGGTGGCAAATCCTTCTGGATTGCTCTCACATTCTAGGCTCCACTGTAATGGCCATTATAACTTCGAGATGAGCTGGCACTGGCTATAAATTGGGTATAAATATGTGGTGGTGGGGGGAATACATGGGAGACCAGGGTAGATGTGAATGCTGCACAGGGAATAAGATGGGTTAGAAGAAATGAGGCTACAAAATCCCATGGGGGAACAGAAGTGGTCTAAGAAACACCCTTGAGATTTGAACAGTCACTTAATCAGTTTAGGAATACAGGAATTACTACATAGGTTCAGATCTGGTGTCCTTCAGGGGTCTGTGCTCGGTCCAGTGCTTTTCAACATCTTTATCAATTATTTGGATGTGGCGGTGAAGAGCTCACTGGCCAAGTTTGTGGACAACACCAAGTTATGGGGAAGTGTGGTCACGCTTGAAAATAGGCTGCAGATACAGGCGGACCTAGATAGGCTGGCAAGTTGGGCGGATCAGAACCAGGTGAAGTTCAACATTGAGAAGTGTAAAGTGCTCCATTTTGAGACTAACAATCCCCAACATACTTACAGGATTGGTGGCGGCAAACTGACTAGCACCACGACTGAAAGGGACCTGGGGTAATAATAGACCATAGTATGAACATGAGCCATCAGGGCAAACAATACTCTGGCATGCATCAACCGATGCATCTCAAGCAAACCGGGAAAGTGATTCCACTTTACTCAGCATTGGTGAGACTGCAGCTGGAGTACTGCATCCAGTTCTGCATCCATTTAATGACATGGAAAAGCTTAAGAGAGTCCAGAGAAGAGCCTGCCTGTATGATCAGAGACTTGCAAGGCAAGCCATACAAGGAAAGCCCGAGGGACTTGAGTCTCTTCAGCCTAAAAAAGAGAAGGCTCAGAGAAGACTTGGTAGCAGTTTAGCGCTATACCAGGGGAATACAACTATTTAGTATGAACATGAGCCATCAGGGCAAACAATACTCTGGCATGCATCAACCGATGCATCTCAAGCAAACCGGGAAAGTGATTCCACTTTACTCAGCATTGGTGAGACTGCAGCTGGAGTACTGCATCCAGTTCTGCATCCATTTAATGACATGGAAAAGCTTAAGAGAGTCCAGAGAAGAGCCTGCCTGTATGATCAGAGACTTGCAAGGCAAGTCATACAAGGAAAGCCCGAGGGACTTGAGTCTCTTCAGCCTAAAAAAGAGAAGGCTCAGAGAAGACTTGGTAGCAGTTTAGCGCTATACCAGGGGAATACAACTATTCACCAGGGCACCCTTGGGGAAAACCAGGAGTAATGGCCACAAACATCTGGAAAAGCAATTCAGGCTTAACACTAGGAAAAACTTCTTCACAGTCAGGGAGTCTAGACTGTGGAATAAGCTCCCTCCAGAGGCGGTGCAATCACCTACCCTAGAAATCTTCAAGAAGAGACTGGGCGGTCATCTCACTGGGGTCACCTGACCCCAGTTGTCTGTTCTGCCTAGTGTGTGGGGCTGGACCCAATGATCTTGCAAGGTCCCTTCTAGCCAGGGCCGTGACAATCTATGAATCTGGGGTTCAACTAGACTCATGTCTTGTCCTTAACAGTAGCCAGCACCAGATTCTTTAGAAAAAAAGGTGTAAAAACATCACCGTATGCAGGTAACTTCACAGTGTAAACCAGATTCTAATCAGAGATTAAGGTAAGGGATACTGCCCTTGTATTAGAAGTTAGGAAGCTTAATATCTCTTGTGAGATATGTTAACACTTAGCACTTTGAATATTTATGTTATCCATGTAAATGTCCAGCAGTTCTTAAATTTTGCTAAAGTGTTGTCTTCAGCTTTCTAGAGCAATATGTTTCATGGTCTAGTTTATGCATTTTCAGTTTTTAATTTACAGCCTTTCAGTTTTGCTGAGTTTCCCTTTTTCTTGTGTTGACGTAGAAAAAAATCAGGACTGTTTAACTCAAAAATGAAATTAGAATGAAAATGATAAAAAGATAATTGGTCTCAAGAAGGGAAGGCAGAAACTTCTATCTCTGCACTCAAGAGCTGTTCCATGCTGCTGATTATCCTCTCCCCTTCTTTGGGCCTGTTCTAGTTCTGAAGTACTTCTTTTGAGATAGGTTAACCAGTATTGTATATTTGCATATTTCAGAGAAGGCACACAAAAGCAAACACTAACATCCAGGACTTAATATTGTGATAGCAATATTACAAATGGAAGCAAAGGGTAGGAAGTTGCAGTCTCCCTTATAAAGTTTAAATTTATACGCTCTTACTAGGGTGCAACTGTTGCCATGTCAGCAGCATGGTGTAATAATGAATAGGATAAGACTCTTGCTGTTCCTGTTCAGGGACCTGCAGGTATCTTTAGAACTGTTGAAACCGGTCAGTTAAATGCTTTACTGCTCCTGTCTATAGCAAGCAACAGCTAAGGCAGGTGGTAGATACATATGTGGAAATAGGATCAACTTGAAACCAGAAGTTATGGAGAGTTAGGTTTCATCTCTCCTCTTTCTACATGACAGTAGCTGCTGCAGCATGAAATTAATTAGAAGTCATATTCTCAAGCAGGATCCAGGGGATGCAGCGTAGTAGAAATTCTAGCTGCCTGCATAGAACTGAGTTGGGGAATCCATTGGTCCATAGTTGTGGTGGGGATCCTACCCTCAAGTTTTGTCATCAATTTCTGTTTATCAGGTTGTACTTTTTTCAATCCTAGTCTGTTGTTTAGGGTTACCTTTGTAGCTGGTTTTCCGTGCAACAGTGGCACATTGGGTCCTCTCCTTTTCCACTGCTGAAAGCAAGAAATATTCTGCCTTTTGCTACATCTCGTGGAGCTTAGAGACAGAGCTGCTCTGCACCATGTTGCAGAAAGGGCTAGGAACAGGATCCTGCTGGGTGGGGAGTGTTAAATAGGCAGTTGCAGCTATGTATGGTGGTGAAAAAAGACTCTCTCTTACTAACTCAGTCTTTCTCCTCTGGATTTATTGAAGTGTGGTTGGGAAAGTTGGCCTGGCAATGCAGGTATTTTTCTCTAGGGCTAGTACATTTAGTCCCTGAGTGAAGTGTGCGCATGCATACCTTGAAGTCCTGACTGCTTGCCCCCATCAGGCTGAGACCTCCTTAGGCCACGGTTCCTTCTGTTGCTTTCAGGGTAACAAATTGAACCTCCTGGAGTTGGTCATGGTAAATTAAAGGTAGAGTACATTTTTTACCGAAAACAGTTTAATGTAACAATCGACTCCCTTAATGTATGTAACTAACCAACCAACCACAAATATAAACAGTCCTGTTGGCTTTACATAGACATCTGGGAGGTTAGGTCCATGAGCTCTTCTGTAACTTTAATTTGCTAGGTGCCTTAGGGTGTTGCATTTGTTAGCATTGCCAGCATTCTAGTTGTGACAGTAAGATACTTAATGGTAAATGTGATTCAATAACTTGATGAGTTGATGAACTTTGTACCAATATATGACAGGTTATTTTCTTTGTCCAATGATGCAGCCTTATGTTTTTCAGCCTCTTGAAGCTTATTAATGGACCAGTAAAACTCCCTGGAGATCCCTTAACTATAGCTGTTGAATTTCTGAAATTCTTTAAATTATTTTCTTTTTGGACTAGTTCTTCAGCCATGAAAACACTTTGTTAGAAAGAAGACATAGGGTGTGTCTACATATTGCCAGACAGTGATGTTGCTGTGGTGCCATGCTTTAGTATTTCTTTTTGGAAGTACTAAAGCACAGTGCAGTATTTGCTGGTACTGTGCCATGTCCGTGGAGCACAGTTAGGTTTTGCTGCTATGTCACCATAACTACTCACTAAAATGGGGGAGTGTGTTGCTACGGCAGTGTAGCTGCTGATCATGTGTAGATTCACGTGATCGCTTTGTTGCCATAGCACGCCATACGGCAACATATAGTGCATTGCTACAGCAACGTAGGGCAATGTGTAGATGTACCCATAGTGGTAGAAAGAGAAGAAGTGATGAGGTTTTTTTAGTTGTAGATGGTGTGTGTGTGCATATGCATTTATGTTAGTACTCTGATCCTGCTGTCTCATTTCTTTCACCCACTGTTCATCACAGGGGCCAGCGTTTTTTTCAAGAATTTTCTATTAAGCCTAAATTGGAAACTTTCTGTGCTCTAAACTTTTAACCATTTTAACAATAAAACAATTGAGAAGAGCTTCTGGAGAAGCCTGGAAAGCAGCTGCTGTTCCGTAACTGTAGTGGCTCACATCTTTTACCTCATGTAAACTACCTACTTAAAATAGTTTGTGTCATCAGGGAGTCACAGCTGCCCATGGGTGACCAGAAATATGCTTCAGTAACGAAAAATCCTGCTTGCTCTGAACTGCTATGCTTTTCGTCACGATCTCTGACAATACTTCTTTGGTGTGGCAGTTCTTTAACTTCAGTGTCAGCATTTTTTTTAAAAATTGCCTGAAACTTACTTTTCATGAAAGGTAAACTGCAAAATTGTAAATATGCCAGGGGAGATCCATTATAAACAAGAAGGAAGATGAAAGAACTCTGGAGAACGTAGCAAAAGTATATATAGCAGGGCTGTGCAAAACAGCACCATTTTGTTTCAATATCCGTTTAGTTTTGAAGTACTGTTCCATTTTGTTTTGTTGAAACTTTCACTGTTTCAACGCGTTTTAACATTTCATCTATAGGCTATAATGGGAAATCATGAAAATGCCTATAACTGTCATTTCTTGCCTGATTTGGATGAAAATTGTAGGGACGGTAGCCCCTTCTGAGGGCGTGACGCCTGCCATGTTTCAAGGAGATAGGTGCAGAGTTTTTTGTGAAACTGCACCTCAAACCGTTGAAAGCAAAACTCATATTGCTTACAGGTAGGCAGCGTCCGACCCTCCTGGGACTGTGGCATTGGGCTCTTCCTGGCGCTCAGTGGCAGCACTGGGAGGGCAGGTTGAGCTGTGTGGGGCTGGCGGAGCTGCTTGGAGCGCAGTCCTGGCTCTCCCCGCCTCCCGCTGCCAGGCTGCAATCTGAACGACTCTGCCAGCCCCACGTTGGTGAGCCTGGTGGCGGAGAACCACTGGCCAGGGCTGCGCTTGGGACCAGGTCTGCTTTCCGAGTGGCTTTGCCAGTGGCTCTCCCACTACCGAGCTGAGCTCCGTAGGGAAGACCCCCAACCCGCAGCTCTCCCATTGCATCTGGCTCTGGTGGACCCCTGGGAAGAGCTGGGGGAAGCGATCAGGGAGCTGGGGAAAGATCAGGCAGCTGGGGAATCCAACCAGGAACTGAGGGAATGTTCAGGGACCTGAACCTTAACCTCTGATTGCTTCCCCCAGCTCTTCCTGGGGGGCACGGACCCCTGGACCTAGATGCTGGATTTCAGCAGGCTGCTGCTGCAGTTTTAGTGGCAGCCTTCTGCCTCTTCGGCACTGTCCCTCACTGGTACCACATCCCAAAACGCGTGAAAATGCTCTTAGTGCCTAAACAGCTGCACGGTGGTCAAGCCAGGTTGAAGTGCTGCTTTTACTGCATAGAAGTCATCATAAGCCTGACAGAAAAGCATAGACACCAGAAGAGGAAGTTTTGCCTGGCAGAGAGAACAAGCGTGTGCAGGGATGAACCCTCAAGTTTAAGCGTTAAAGAAAAAATTTAACTTGATGAATTGGTGAGGGGGAACGATGTTTTTTTCTTAAACTACAATATCCAAATGTTAATGTAGGTATACAATAAACTTCCTTCCAGGTCCCATTTCAGACTTCCTATTAAACGTAGTAAGAAATCAAATAAATTATGCAGAACTGAAAGGGTATAAAATTAAAATCGTGAAATTTTACACAATCCAGACACCTACTTCTAGAGCAGTGACTTTGAACTTGTGGCCAATGGGCGGCATGCAGCCCGGTCAGCATGCTGTTGAGGTCCATGTGACATCCTGTTTAAAAAAAAAAATTAAATAAAATAAAGATTGTCACCTGCGGTCTGTTAGTCATGGATCCGGGTTTCCATTCCCCACGGAAAAAATGTGGATTTGCCCCTTTTAAGGAGAATACTGTGGGAAATGGTAGGTTTCCTCCTGCTTGGGGCTTGGGGGAGCGAGAGGAGGCAGGAGGTGCCACATGCATGTGCACATGCATGTACATGGCAGCCAGGCAGCATGGAGAGCAGCTCCTGCAGCTCCCTCCAGGCAAATCTATGTGGAGGAAGAGGGAGGCAAGCTGAGGCCCCCACAGTGAGGGGGAGGGAAGGAATAGAGTAGGGCAGGGCTAAGGCTGGGGGCGCAGCCCATCTGGGTTGGTGTGTGGGGTCCAGGTCTGGGGTGGGATTGTGTGGCTGTGGGGCCCAGCCGGGGTCGGACTGGCTCCCTGTTGCTGCACACATTCCCAGGGAAGGAGAAATGTGGGGGGTACAGGCTCCCCCAGATTTGTTTGTTGGGTAGATGTGGGCTCAGGGCAGCCTGCCCTGCTGCCCTCCCCCCCAGGGGCAGAGCGGAGTGGAGACTCTTTGTGCTGCTGCCAGGAGCCCTGTGCTGCTATGGTGAGGCATCCCGTGCCAACCTGGCAAGAGCAGGGGGTACAACTCTGTGCCGCTGCTGCTGCCAGGTGGGCAGGGGGAACCTCGCCATGGTGGCGCAGATAGCATGGGGCTCCCAGTGGTGGCACTAAGCCTCCCCACCCACCAGCACTGGGTCGCAGAAGCCTTGGGGGTGTAACGGGCGGGGAGCAGCAGGGCAGGGAGCCCTGAGTCTGCAGCGGGCAGCCTGCATCTCCCCTGCACTCTCTTTTCCCTTCTACCCCCTGTATCTGCTCTGGGTGGGGGGTGCTGGGCTTTGCTGTCTGCTCTGGCTGTGGCAGTTGCCGCCTCCCACTGATGGCAGGGCCAGGGCGCTGTGGGGGAGGGTGGGCAAAGGCCTGCAGGCCCTGGCCCTGGTTCCATAGCCATGGCAGCTGGGTTTCCCCTCAGCTGTGGGGGTGTTGCTCGCATAACACATTGAGAGCTTCAGGTGTGGCCCACTATGGCAAATAGGATTTGTTGTAGTGGTTTTTTGTTCTCTCAAAATTCTAAATATTACTGTGGCTTAAAATGGTGTAAGCTTTTATTTATATTAAAACTTTCTCTGTCTCCTGAAATCTAGTGAAATGTTAGTGTTCTTTATGTAGGATTGTTGACAACATGCCTGTAACATGGTGCTATGATGTTGAAGAAGGTCAGAGGTTCTGCAATCCTGGGTTTCCTATTGGCTGTTATATTACAAAAGACGGCCATCAAAAAGACGCCTGTGTCATTAATGTAAGTTTAAAGACTTTTCTGCATGAAATCTCTTTCCAGATTTTTCCTTGCTTTCTGATGCTTTGTTCCCATGGTGGGTTTTCCTTTATCTTCAGACTGGTTCAGGGAATGATGGAAATGTGCTGTGGACTCGACTTAGATGAGGTTAGAAGAGATTTATCTGAGAACATTAGGCTGCTTTCCACTGCGGGATGTAGAAGCCTGCAAAAGACTGGAGGGAAAGAGATGCATGCACACAGCGAAGTCAATGCAACATCCTTCCTTGACCCTGAAAATTTCTCTCTAACTGCTGCATGGCTGGGGCTGTGGAGTTTTTTAAATAAGCATGTTTCTCTGAGAAGCAGACTTCCATGCAGTGGCTCTGTTATGTGCCTTTTCAAACCTGGCAAAAGTTGACATAGCTAATGCTTCTTGAAGGAATTAACTTCCCCTCCACTGAGAGGGCTTATGCATAGATGCTGGAAACAAGGTATCTTAGTAAGAGTCCTGCATGAACTGTCACTGGAAGTAGCATGAGGAAAATTCTTTGTGCAGACATATCTCATTCTGTTAAAATACTGACTTTGGTTATATTTTTAAGTTGCAGTCACACGTCACAAACAAACTTATTACTTAAACCAGCGATGCTCAATATTTTTGCTCAGAGGGTCGGGTGGGCGGTGGCCTGTTAATCCATGGGTGAGATCTGGCTGGTTCTCCTGACCAGTACCCAGGGCAGACATGGTGGGGCCCCATCTAGCCATTTGGGGACTGGGGGCAGTCTGACCCTTATCCAGCTGTGTGGTGGAAGGGGGCTCAGTGTGGCCACAACCCAGCCCCACAGGGGATGGGGAAGGGAGCATGGCCTGGTCCTACAGGGGGAGGGGGTGTGGCTCAGCCCTAATCGAGCTGTGCAGGGGAAGGGGATGTGGCAGTGGGTGAGGTGGCACCCCCTGTCAAATTTCCCAACCCATGGGGAGCCCTACGGGCTAGATGCCATGGTTCCATGGACTGGATTTGGCCAGTGGGCTGGAAGTTGAACATGCCTGACTTTAACACTATATAACTATTTGATAAAGTAGTATGTAATCTAACAGTTTTGGTTAAGGTTAGTTTGAAAACAGTGCTCTTAACAGGTCTTTACATTTATTGCCCATTTAAAGAGGTAAAGCAAGAAAGTGCTTCTCTGAATAGTCCAGAATATGTATATAGTTAAAAATGTTGAGCTTCCAACCTGGTAGCAGATGCATTTAAAAAGTTAGGACATGCTAATCTTACTGGCTTAACAAAATTTACTTTTTAGAATTCCCCTCTCTCTGTCTTATTTAATTTTGTGTTTTGTTTTGCAGTCAGAATTTCATGAGAGAGATACCTTTTATATTTTCAATCATGTCGACATTAAAATATTCTACCATGTTGTAGAAAATGGAGCAACGGGAGCAAGACTAGTAGCTGCTAAGCTTGAACCAAAAAGGTGAGTATTAAAAATTCAACCTTCTTACAGTATGACCTGTCACTAAACAAAGATTAGCTTCAAGAATTTTACTCCAAACCAGTTGTCACTAACTGGTGGATCTCGATCTACCGATAGATCTCGGAGCCTCTTGAAGTCAATCCGAGACTGGGATGGGAGGCTGAGTGCCCAAGTGCATGTGTGCGTGCATCCCAGCCCAGCAGGTCAGTCTGTGGAGGAGGGTAAGGGGCAAGGGCTAGATCAAGGCCTCCACAGTGAGGGACAGTGCCATAGAGGCAGGAGCAGAGCAGTGGTAAGTTGAGTGGGGCCCCAGCCGGGTGAGATTTACCTGTTGGGGAGGCGAGCCCCCAAATTTTTTCTCCCTCTGCCTTGATCTTCTTCTCCCTCCCCTCCCCACAGACTTACCTGCTGGGCGGCGGGGGGACAGGACAGGTGGTGGCGCATGGTAGATCTTGGGTTGTTTTAAATGCCAAAGGTGATCTACTTTAAAAAGGTTGGAGATCAATGCTCCAAAACATTTGTCTTTAGCTATAAGATGTGTTACAAGAGGCAGAGGTCGATTAGTTTTCCTGCTGGAAAAAGTGTTCTGATTTTAGGATGGTATAAAGCAACAGTTCCTTTTTCTGATAATGGACTTTTATCTTCAACTGTAGTACCCAGAAAATATTTGGTGGTATACTTTTCAGTTGGCAAATGGGAGGGGGGAAGCATCATATCATGTGCTCATCATGATTCCTGTTTATTCATCAGTGTCCAAAGCAAGGGAAATGAATTCACCTTGCTTTTTGATCTCATCAGTATTAAATATTTGAATAGAGTTATGCTCCTTTATGCCATTTCAGCTTTCCTTCTGTCTAAGAAAACAACACCTTTTGCAGGCTTACGATCCATTACAATTAACATCCTTCTTTCTAGTCCCTAAAATGTATTTACCTTGCTTTCTTTTACTCTGTCATTATAGCTGAATTTGCTGAGTTGCAGGTCAGATGTCCTGATCTTGACCACCTAATGGTTTTTAAAGGAAAATTAAAATTTTTTCTTGTGCATAATAACTAACTAATCGACTTGTCTTATTTTCTGTTGAGTTTTTTTTAATATTCATCATTTCTTTAGGTTTCACATGATGGAAGAGTGTGATGCTTAAAATTTGAGGTATTTTAGGAAAATTTGTCTTTGCTATAAATTGTTAGGGAACAGAAATGGTATTTTTGATGTTTGTGCCACAGCTTGTAGTCTCTAAAACTTATAAATATTATTATTTTAAAATTGGATGCTTGGAAGAAAAATTCTAAATGAAATTGTTAATTAATTAAATGAGTAAACTTTAATACTGTTGCTAGTCAAATGAACAGCTTTGAATTTTGTGCATGTTTCTTTCCATAGCTACAAGCATACAAATCCAGAAAACCCTGACTGCTCGGGTGTGCCTATGGATATAAATAACCAGGCTAGTGGGGAGATCAAAATTGTTTATACGTACTCTGTTACCTTTCAGGTGAGTGTTAAAGGTTTTTGTGTTTTAACCAGTTGTTTCCCATCTTCTCTCTGTGTATTTGATTGTTTCTTTCTAAGTGTAGAACTTTACACTTTGTTCTTACTCAGTTTCATTCTATTTATTTCAGACATTCCTCAAGAACAAACAAATGATTTGTTCTTTTTAAGTTTTAGAAAATGAATGACTAGTGTTGCTGCAGAATGTTCAATGCAATATTGTTACTAAGTGTGGCTAAAAATGCAGTCCTTTTTCAAATCAAGTTTTTAGTTACAATTTAGGAGATTTAGTTGCAGAGCTGTTGTTGCAAATTAATGGGGTTTTGTGGTCAAATTACCTACTGGAAATTTTAGGGGGCGGAGGGGGAAAAAGTCTTTTTCATGTTTACCTACTTGTACCTGGAAGAAGAGCAATTTGCCCAACATTAAATCTATGTTATGCATGTTCATCAAAGAAATATGAAATATATGCATGTTCATGGCAGGATGCACACTTCTGGGACCAGATGCTAGAACCAGATTGTGTCATTACCACTTGCAAGTGCAGGGGGACCTCAGGGTCAGCTGTTCGTTGGTCCCAGCTTTGGGACAACTAGACTTTCTGTAAATACGCCAAATACAAAAATTTAAACTATTTGAGGAAATAAATTGTTTTTATTTGCTGGATGACCCACTCACAATGTTTTAAACAATGAATGTTGTTGTAAAGAAGATTCTAAAGATTCCAACTGTGTGTTCTGCTAAACTTTGCACGATATGAGGTTGTTTGAAGTTCTAAGACAATATATCAGGTAAGGCTGGCAGGATAGAAGTAGTCAGATAGGAATGGCAAATGTGTAAGGTGTCTTCTTTGTTACATCTCTTGCATAGGAACCTAGTTTATTGTCTTCTGGTGAACTGACTGCAAGTGTTATCTTGCCCATCACCATTTTTTGGCATCTTGACAAAATAAGTTTTAATAAACAATTTTTAAAAGCATTCAGTTTTTCCAAATAACTATTTTTAAACTGTTGATTGGTCTTGTTAGTTTATTTATTGAATTAAATCACGAGCAAGAAAATAACTGGTTAATTTATTATGTCTTTGTTATGAATGGATGGTTTTAGTAGTTTATTTTTATATCAAGATGACTTCCAAATGATGATCTCTGAAAAGTGAATTTTCCCTCCCTGTAGCTTAAAAATATTAATTTTAAAAATATTCATGTGATATTTATTAATAGTTTTGAACAAACCTTCTGTTTAGTACTAACACACAGTGGGTGTGTCTACATGTACATTTAAGCATGCCTAAATTTCATGCGAATTTGCTTACTGCGCATTAAGTGGTTTTAGGCAGGCGTCTACATGTGTAGGCGTTAAAGTGCATAAGCGCTGTGTGGACTGACTTGAGACTAAAGTTAGTCTCAAGTCAGTCGATACACAGTGTTAATGCACTTTAATGCATCTACACATTCGTTAACATGCCTAAATTTGCCATTTTTCATGCACATTAATGGTGTGCATGTGTAGACATGCACCCTTAATGCACATTAATTTAGGCAAATGCACATTAAGGCGTCGT